TAAGCAAGACTAGGATTGTTTCCTGGTGACAATAACACACCTCTTGTCAGAACAGACCTTATCTCTGCATTACATTTGTGACTCCAGTGGCCCTTCACCTGTCTCTCAACTCACAGGTCAACTCACCTGAAAGTTTTGGCCACTACTCCTTTATGATTCAGAAAATCTTCAATTAGCAGCTGTACAGCTTTCTCTGTGTGGCAATGGGTGACCCTTCCTGGGGCTGGATAGTGTCATTACTTGTGCTCAGCCACAAACAGCAAATTCCCTGCCACAGGGTGAAGAGCTCCCTGCAGTGCCGGCCAGTGTAGGCTGCCTTTTAGGGTTCCACCTTACTAAAAGCCTCTGTGATGAGGGAAATGATTGTGATGGCCAATTTAAATTATTTCGGCTATTACATGCATTTGACCAACAGTAACAACTGACAGCTGCTCTACTTTGTCCAGTAGAGATGAGGATCCTGCTTTGCTAATACAAGATATTTTCTTTAGGAAACAACATTTATGCCTTGCATTACCTTGCAAGCACTGATGGTGAGTGCCTAAAATTAGGCAGAGCTGCAGGTTCCATCAAGCTGGACCTCCTTTTTGTGGGAGCAAAACATGCAAAATTTTTAGTAGATTGTTAGATGTTACCAAAGGGTAACGTCTAACAGAGCTATAAGACACTGGAAACTGGATCTTACCCTAGATATGTTCAATAACTGGGACACTGCACAAAACTATTCCTCTCCCTATCAGCAAGGAAGTACAACAGGAAAGAGGAAGTTTCCGAGACTGTTTAACAGAACGTTTGCTAGATGAATTCTCAGAGCACCGTTGCAGCTGATTACTGAATCCTGACAACGGCGGCTCATTGGCAACTCCCCCTCCCACCTTGTCCCCAAGATTTCTCTCAGAAAGCATAATTTTCCTGCAATCCATAGGAAAGCAGTACATAGGGAAGAGCTTCTCTTTCAGACTGTCAATTTTTTTTCATTATTTTCTCCAGTCCTTAGGCAGTCTTATCAGTTTTTTCACTTAGAATGAGGTTTGCTTCCACTATTTGCTATCTTAAATATGTATGTATATTCATATGAATACATATATATGTACATGTGTTTTCTGCTAATTTTTTCTTTCTACACTGAAATGTCCAGAAAAAGCAAGAGGACAGGGAATACCAAAAAGTGGTGACTTGAAGTAGTACTAAAATTCAGCTGAAATTCTGCTTAGGTATGAGGTATAGCTTTTGTCTGGGAGGAAAAATTCTCCCAGATACATCATTCTACACAAAAAAATATGTGTAATATTTGTACAACAGAGCCAGGCACTTTCCTTTAGGGAGAACTATACACAAGTATGGACAGATGGGAAGAAGGCACCCTGCACCTATCAGTTTATCTGTCCATCTGCTTGTGTTGACTTCCTTCAGTGCCCAGAGACCTCTCTTTGAAGGACTGAGTTTAAGCTGACTCTTTCCCTCTTCTCTCAGATCTGTTCTCCAGTACCACCAGTTTACAAAAGATCCTAATGCTTCATCCCTTCCTTTTCCTTAGTCAGAACCCTTGTCTGTCTCAAGGCCATCAGCTGTATTATGCTCTAATATTTAATTAAGCTTAAAATACAATTGTATTTAGGTAATAAACAGTGAAGAAACAAAAGTACAGAAAATAATTGTGGATCAAATCAATAGAGAAACATGAGTTTTGGATTACGCTCCTGTAATTATTTCCGACCTTGCACATCTGCAAAAGAAAAACAAGCAGTGATCAATTCTACTTGCTGTGGGTAAAGAATTTTCAACTTATTTTGAGCAGATGTGTCATTATTGCCTTAATTATTGTGCCTCGGTAGAGCACCTATTTCCAAATTGCTTTCAAGCTAATAGCCTTTGTTCCAGTTAAGTTTATTAGCATTATAATTTCTGTGCCCTGGGAACTTTTTTGCTATTTTTAGAGGTCTTTTTCTTCCCCAGATTCAGACTGAAATCAATCACAGATGTTGTCCCAGTGTATATTCTTTAAATAGAATGTGCCACACTATAAGTAGTTACCTTGATTTCAATGGGGCTGTGCTGAGTGCTTGCAGTACTGAAAAACTTCAATTGTTTTGGGAGGATTATGTCTGTGCAGTTAGAGTAAGAACAGAGGTAACCCCTTTGTGCTGCCCACAGATGATTGCAAAGCCAAGGCACAAAACTCATGTACAGGAGACTGACATTAGCTTTAGCATGAGAGGGTGCTCCAGAAGTCACTTGAATCAGGGTAGAGATGGAGTACTTTGACCTATATTTGGAATACCCCAAAAACCAGAATTCAGATTTCATGGCTTTGTTGGGTATTTTATTATAACAGAAAACATTACCCTAAACATTGGTCCTGTGTTTTTGCTTGTCTAACACAAAGTAGATAAGTTCTTTGTGAAAAATAGAAAGTATTTTGCTCCAAAAGGAAAGGTACCATAATAAAAAGAAGAAAGAGCTACTTACTTGACTATACAAAAAATAATTTCACAAAAATGTCATTACAGTGCCTCAACAGAAATCACTCTCAGCTTACACAATTGTAAATGAACAGGTGATTTTGTGAAAATGGCACAGAGAAAATGCAGAGACAAATGCATCTCAACTTTGAATGTGTGATGGCAATTGGGACCAGGTAATCAACCACCACATGAGTTGTCTTTAAGGGGGTCTGCTGCTAGTTTTTTTGATCTGATGCCTCTGGAAACAATTAGCAAGCCCTCATGAATTATGTTTATAAGTGCTGACAAACCCTGAAGTATACAGTAAGTCTCTTAAAAAAAACAAACTATAATGAATGATGATCACCTACAACATGAATTATAGATTCTTTGCAAGTTAGCCTGATTCATGATTATGCAGTGCTTCAGGGTCTGCTACTACATTTACATTTTTACCATGAGCCTTTTTGGTTTGTATCATCTTGAAATATAGATTAAAACTCCACAGCCACATGATTAATTAAGTCTAAAAAAACCTTATGTGGCTAATCGTCACGTACTGAAAATGAATGCAAAGTTTGCCCCAGATGAATATCCAGCTCTGAGTTTCACTCAGACCCTAAGATTTTAGGACACAAAAAGTAGACTTCCTGGAACATCAGCTGTGTAATTTAATTTTCTTCAGTGAGAGAACAAATGCAATTTTACTTTGATATGAAGTCAATATGTTTCACAAATTCTTCAGATGTAAATTTTTATCTGAAAAACCCCTCCACCAAATTATGGATCGCTTACTGGAAAACTGAGTGAAGGACAGGAAACTTTATCTAAGACACAAGAATTAACCAATCTCTGTCCAGAAGTTCCACATGGGAATTGAAAGAAATCATAGTATTATAAAATGGCTTGGGTTGGAAGGGACCTTAAAGATCCTCCATTTCCAACATCCCAGCCATGGGCAGGGACACCTTCCACTAGGCCAGGCTGCTCAAAGCCCCATCCAGCCTGGCCTGGAACACTTCCAGGGATGGGACACCCACAGATTTTTTGGGAAACTTGTATCGGTGCCTCACCAACCTCACAGTAAAGAATTTCTTCCTCATCTCGAATCTAAGCCTACTCTTTTTCAGTTTGAAGTCATTCCCCCCTTCTTCTGTCCCTACATGCCCTTGCCAAAAGTTTCTGCATCTTTCTTGTGGGTGCCCTTCAGGTACTGGAAGGCTGAAATTGGGTCACCCCAAAGCCTTTCTTCTCCAACCCAAAGAATTCCAATTCTCTAGACTTTTCTGATAGGAGAACTATTCCATCCCTCTAATCATCTTGGTGGCCTACTTTGGCCTCACTCCACCAGGTCCGTGTTCTTCCTGTGCTGTCCCATGTCCAGTATCTGGGCTGTGTGTCTGCAAAAGCTGATAACAGCAGCCATACTGCCTAGCACAAGAACAAGGGGGTTTTAACTCTTCTGGAGAACTGAATAATGTGGCTGAATAATTAAGAAGTGATATGTGTTTTCCAACACCTTGTTTGTGCAGAGAAAATCTCTCTTCTGATAAATTATTCAAAACATAACTGCTAACCTATTTAAGTTTGAAAATATGTGCACTGTAATCAAGAATCATGTTTCTCAGCTGTCTGAACAACTACACTTCAAATTTGGCATTCTCTAAAGTGCCTACACAGAACAGTACAGGAAGATAACGATGTCCAGTGAACCATTCTGATCAGAGTTCAGGGGCAGTGTGTCAGAGAAATCCAGAGGTTTCCTAAATATAGAACAAACTATTTAAGTATAACTTGCAGAAAGTGTCTGAAAATACTTCCATTGCATGCAAATCTTTTCATTGTAACTTTAAGTGTGACAGCTGCCCTAATCGTGTCAAAAGGTTAATGAAATTTCTTCAATAATTTATCAAGGTTAAAGATTTTCTCTAAACAAACATTGCTTATGTGGAACTAATTAAATACTCATTCTGCTTTTCAACGTGGAAGATTAAATAAGCTGTGACATTTTGCAATTTTAATTTATGGTGCATTTTCCACCATCTTCACACTAGTTTCATTTTTTAGGAGACTCAAACATTAATATAAAAATCATGTGATTAACAATTGTACATAATGTACCCTTTTGCCCTCTGTCATTAAACATAGAAGTAACAGGAGTGCTCCTGTGTTTGGACCAGAAGCACAGTTTTAGTTATTAGTGTTAAAGCACAACAATGTGCTTAGCTAAGGCAATCCCTAAGCCACCTTATTTATTATGTATATTATAGAAATGCAATCTAAAATTGACACATATGACTTATTGGGATTTTCCCTTTTGGTGAGAAGTTCTTAGGTTTTGGTTTTAACACCCAGAGAGGAGATTTAAGCTGGACATCAGGAAAAGAGGGGATTCCAGCCAGATTAAGGGTCATTTCAAGATTATGGAATTGGAATACTGCCTTGGAGTATCTGTCCTTATGACATCCTGTGGTGGAATGTTTGTCCTTTACACTGAGAGTCTCAAAAGTGGTCACTAGCTGTGTGCTTCTATTCATGGATATTTAACATACATACCTATAGGAAAGAGGAATAGTCCTCACTGCTTCTGGAATGTGGGAACTCTTCTTTAGCATACCAATGGTTTCATTTTCTGGAAATCCGTGCTGTGGATACACAAATAAACAGCAATTCTTGATTTCACACACAGTAAAAATAAATAGCACTTGTATGTGCTCAGAAACTATAACAATGGTCATGACTTGAAAAAGAAAAAAAAAATAAATCCAGGAGAAATAAATTAATTGTGGTGTTAAAATGAACATCATGCAATAAATGAGTACAAGCTGCTCTTTGAATGAGGCAAGCACAGCCCCTCCACTGTCCTGATCCATCTGTCCTGGAGCAGGGATAGGAGTGAGTGAACAGAAAAACCTGGCTATCAAAAAAAGTCTGTTCCTGCACTGTACAGCAGAGAAATAATAGAACTATTGAGCAGCTGCTCCCAAACTGAGCACTGTCAATTCTGCTGGCTGCTTCCAGCCCACACCTCTGCCTCTGGAGTTCCATGTAGGTGGAGAAGGTGCCAAAAGAAAGATACTCAAAGAAACTTTCATGCTGCAGCTCCTAACAAGAGCATACACACATTTTCTACCTTCAGCAAAGTCATTTCAAGTTCATCTTTTCAGTTCAGCCCCTGGCCTTTAAAAGCCAGGCTCCCAGATGCCATCAGCCAGGACTGTGCTGACAGGGGCATGACTTGCCAGAAGGTTTTGAACCTTTGGCTCCACGAGGGAGATGACAGTAATTTCAGCTAATGGAATAATGGATAGCAATCTTAGGTTGTCATTCTCAGTCTGAATCAGTGCTAGAGAGGAGCGGACGCTTTGCTGGCTTTTTCACAGATATTTGTGACAGCAGAGAAATGATGATTCCCAGTTCATTTCCATGCACTTGATTGAAGCGTGCTCGCTTAGAAGACTCAATTTTCCCTGCTGATTCCCCTTTCTCCCCTCTCTTCTCAAATTATCTTTTTTTGCAGCCCTTTGGCTTAGCTATTTCATGGCCCTCATTTCACACTCCTCAGGTCTCAGTCCTGATCTTTGTTCAGTAAACTGCAGTTCAAATCAGCTACAGACTACATCTGAAATGCACTTTTAAAAAGTCCTAAAATCAAGCCAAATTTGGATAGAATTTCAGAAGAAAAAGTATAAAACAAACACCTATCTAATTTAATGTAATTTGCAGACAAGAAGTAACTCTTTTTTTTTTTTTACTCTACAGAGTACAAACTTGGTATTTTTCTTCACCTTACAATTATTTCAGCCTTATTTTTTCTAAGCCATTTAAACTTTCCAGAAGTATTTAAACATCATTTAGAGCTATCAATCCTAACAGCTGAAAGGCAGCAAAGCTTGAGGCAAGTGAAAAAAGTGTTTTTACTACAGAGAATAATTAGCACTGCTTCTTGAAATTTGCCATTGATTTCTGTGTTAACAGCAAATGCAAAAAAAAAAAACAAGACAAAAATACTTATGTAGAAAGTTCTGGAGCTTTCTAAGTAAATCTTGTTAAAATTTGCCAGAATCGATTTCCTTTCATCCATGTAGACCCAAGTCCTAGAATAGTCCTCGAAATAAAAGGGATTTTGGGCAGTTTACAAAAAAAAATTAAAATTATGTTGATCAGGCTAATCGTACTTGTGTCATTTTTATCAAAAGTTAGTAATCATATGATGTGATACACAAGTTAAGTTATATAAAGATATTCTAAGTTATCTCTCCAAGTTTATATCCATGAATTGTAAGATTCACAAAAATGTACTGCATGCCCTCCTCCTAACCCTACCTGTTTTTTGGATTTTGATAAAATTTTTCTCATTTCTCTCTTGCTCTATTGTTTTTTTCCTCTTTTTTCTTCTTTTCCCCTTGCTATCACACAACCTCTTTCTAGGTCATACACTTTCCTGGGCAGAAAGCATATGTCTTTGTGTTATACCTGTATAATTTTCAGCTGAGTGTGCTCATGTTCTACTGCAAATCTGCACATTAAGTTAACAAAGGTTATAATTAGATAAATAATAATAGAATGACATATTGCAGATCCCTTACTCACAGGGCTGAGCAATTACTCATATGAGCTGTGCCATGAAATCTATCACCATGACTTCTGTGAAAAACTGAGCAGTGAGGACTTCAATCTGGTCCATTATAATTATGCAACGCAGCACATTTGTGTAAATTGTTCTCATTCTGAGGTCTCTTTAGAACAAATGTCTCTTTGAATACACTCTGCTGCAATAATGGATCAACTGCCAAGCTGTGAAACCCCAGCAGGAGACAGTACACCAGCCAATATGAGGGGATGTATACAGTATCTAATTAATTCTAATGCTTTTCTATGTTTAATCATCCAGGTCATCAACATCCAAATATTTAAGTGTAAGCTTCAGCCTTTCCAAGGGATCTGCAAACACATGACAAATAGTAGTGACTGTTCTAATCTTCCCAAATTATAGATGATGTATCTACAAGTGACTTACATCCATTTCCATGGTGCTCCTGGGAGAGGAGCTGCCATGCTGGATGGAATCACATAGACTGGTTTAGGACATAAGTTGAACAACAACATCTTAGGCTATGCACATAAAAATTGTCACTTAGTCATACAGAGAGGTATGAACAAGATCTCTCTCCTACCCTATTTGAGCCTCTTCTGACTTTGGTACCTCTGTGTCCATGGTAGCATCTCTTTCTCTCCTGCCCCAAGGCATCCCTGACAAGGCAGCCCACTATGGTCATGATCCTCTGTCATCTTTGCTACGGTTTTTTCCTGATCATAAATACTCTTCCTCAAATGTGCCTGACAGGTCAGTATCTTTAAAACTTTGAAAATGACCATAACATATTTTTAAAACAATTTATTTTCAAACAGAAAATATCAGAGCTAATTAATCCACTAAGATGAATAAACTAAAATACTGGGTACCGTTTTGGTCTCTACAAAAAAATAAAATGTGGACAGGCTGGAGAGGGTCTAGAGAAGATTCACAAAGATGATCAAAGGAAAGGACTGGGAAGCTGCCATATGAGGAAAGGCTGAGAGAACCAGGTTTGTTCACCCTTGAGAAAAGAAGGCTTAAAGGACACCTTATCACCATGTTCCAGCATTTAAAGAGGGGCTAAAAACAAGATTGAAACTCTCTACCAGGAATCACATGGATAAGGCTGAGGTGCAATGGGTAAAAGCCACTCCTGGGGAGGATTCTGATCGCACATAACAGGAAAATTTTTCACAATGACAAAAATCAGCCATTGGATTAATCCCCAGGTAAGTGGTTGATTCTGCAGTGTTGGACACTTCTGAGATTCAGCTGGACAGAGTGCTGGGCCATCTTGTCCAGACCCTGCTTTTGCCAAGAAAGGATGGACCAGATGATCTCTGTGGTCCTTTCCAATCTGCTAGTCTATCATTCTATGAATAACCTTGCATTTAAAGGAATGCTTTTCATGTTAGAAACTTGTCATCAGTCATTTTACTTTATTTTATTTTTTATAGTTGATTGCTTGAAAATAAGTGTTTTGTCTGTCACAGGTTTTTTGGAAAGAAGCAGTGACTCAGAGTATGGAGGAATGTTTTTCAAGAGGAGTTAATCTGCTGGATGGCTTTTTGGGCTGGGATCCATCATTGCCCACACAGTGCAAGAGCATGTCTTTATTTTGGACTTCCAATTTTTACTACAGCTAACAGGTTTCTGAATGTGCTTTACACTTTCTCATAGTAACTATACTCACAGAAATTACACTGTTGTGCCACCAATACAGTGCAGATGCCCATGTGTTTTTTGAACAAGAAATGTAAACTGATGATTTGGGAAATGAGAATAGAGAAGAAAAAGCACGCTCCCCCAGACCCCAACCCTTACTATCAGGTATTTCACAAAATTCAAGAGGAAAGGAGGGATAAGGAAAATTGAAGGAAAAACGAAGGAAAAATTTGATAATTTAGGATTTCAAAATGACAAAAAAGAGAAACATATCCTAAAGTACTTAATTCCTACTCACAAGCTTGCTCTCAAATCACCTAACAGATAATTAAATTGATTTTACAGTGAGCTAATAGGGATTTGACATTGGCCTAGTACGAAAAAAGGGCAGTACCTGTTACTGCCTTTGGTTGGCTTGGAGTCATCTTGAATTTGGGAGGAGAATCAAATGGCTCTGCTTATGCCAGTGCCAGCTGAGTCCCTGTGACAATTTGTTGTTACATTGACATAACACAGTCATCAAATGTCTGGTGAGATTTGGAAAACAGATGGAAGACTAAGTGACACAGAGTAAAGATGCACTCTAACTGTTCCTTTACCTCTAGCAAAGGGGAAAATACTCCATTGATTCCCAATGAACTATCAGAGTCAGGGAGAGACAGCTCCAGGTTAGAAACTCATAAGATTGCCAAGTGCCTGGGAACATGTCTAGAAGAAAGAGCAGTGAATAATTATCTTATGTAAGAAAATTAGATATAAGACAAGATCAACTCCATTTTCAACAGTAATTTATAAAATGGGTACCCTGGAAGACCAAAAAAGGCAATTCAGCAACCCAAATTGTCAAAAGGCAATCAAATATCAGAATATACACACACATACATCTAATAGACCAGTGATAATTTAAAACTTCCCTCTTTGCTGACTGTTAGACAACCCAGAGTTTGTTACTCCTGTCTGATTCATTTCCCAAAGGTTTGAGAAGTGCTATCTCAATTTCAAAGTTTCTCTACATGCAGAAAGGCCCATGTAGACAAAGAATTGTCCTTACCTGGCCAACTTTAGACTGGTGACAGGTTTTTCACCAACACTTGTCTTTCAGCTAAAGGTGGAACTTATCTTCTAAGCCACTTTTCTAAAGCAAAAGAATTTCAGTGTGCATTGTCCAAATGACCACTTGAACTGCTGAGGAATTTGGATCAGGATTTACAACCATGGAGTCTAGTTCATGATCTCCATCTCCATTCAGATGTTAGTACAATATGCATTAAAGGAAGCAGAATTAGCCTATGCTCTGGAAAAGGAGATGTAAACACTTCCCACCAATTGTGCATGGGCATTTACAGCTGTGTGGAAAAAACGCCAGTTTCTATACATCTACTTTTTTTAAAGTCACCTACAATTTTTTTAATAAAAGAGAAAGGACAACAGGGTATAGCAATTTATTTTTAAAGCCATTTTTGAGAACATTGTGAATTTTATCTTAAAACCTTGTGGTTTTGGTTTGGGGTTTTTTGTTACCAATATGTGTATATTGTTAAATGCTTCTTTTCTATTTAGCAAAAAAGTTTACTTGTATTTTTAAATGTCTTAGTCATTCCTCTGAATGATTCCTTTGAATGATTCCTTTTATCATATCAGATATATGAGAAGTGACTGCACAACAAATCCCTTTGCCCTCAGAACAATAGCATAAAGAATTCTAGTAGGTAGCATAAAAAAAAGTTGGAAAAATGAACAATGTAGTTTGGTTTGCTGAAAACAGGCTTTATGGGACTTGAAATCTGTTTTAAACTCTTTATTAGCCAGAGCACATATTTGCAGGGTACACTGCACATGCACAGCAATTGCTCTCTGAGCAGGTAATTAATGATCAGCAGCACAGAGGCCTGCAATGCAGAAAAAAGGGAGGTGGGGGTGACTGGTGCTCTATGGCAGTGACTGGCAGTGAAACAAAGAACTAAGATTTGGGGTGAAACATGTCCTGCTCTTGAGCTTTCTCGAGCAGGCACACAGAAGGGAGTGAAAGGAGGACAAAACCCCAATCCCTTTCCCTATTCAGCTCTACATAAAAGACGGCAATCACACCAGCGCAGAACACTTGCAGCTGATTTAGCTCATTCATCAGCCCTTGTTTGGGCTTATACCCAACTCTAACTGAAGTCAAGGGGAGCATTTCCTTTGCCTTCTGTGCTGGATTGAGTCTTTCACAGCCCTCTGGGAACTCTCCTTTAGCCAAAGTGGAAAGTGCTCTTTGCTAAAGCAGCAGAAATGCTAAAGCAACTGCATGTCAGACATCTCAAAGTGGGCTGGCAGAACTGGTATTACCTTCCTCCAGAATGCTGCACCTGGAAAGAAGCCACAGTAAAATGGGAAGTGCTTATCATTCCCAAACATGCAGCTTGTGTATTAAACTTCATATAAAATGAAGCAGTCCTCTCCTGCTCTCATCTCTACCTGCATGAGAACAGTGAGGCAGAGCTCTCTGGTGGCTCTCATGAGCAGGAACTGATGGGGAAAAGAAAAAGAAAAAGAAAAAGAAAAAGAAAAAGAAAAAGAAAAAGAAAAAGAAAAAGAAAAAGAAAAAGAAAAAGAACCCAAACAAAACCAGACTTTATTTAAGGCAATTACTTGCAAAGCTTGATTTCTTTGTATGAATCTAAGAAGAAGCAGATTCTATAGCTCAATATTCCTTTCACATATGACTCGGAATAGTATTTGGAGTTTTTTTGGAGCATAACCAAAGTTCCTTGCTTTCACCACAAGACCAGTTTCACTCCTCAGTGCAGCTTCTCTCTGCCTTTACACAGGCAATAATTTTTCTTAGCTGCCCTACTTGCTACAGAAATGTCTCAGGGGGTCTTTCCACACCAACTTCAGCCTATGTTGCAAAACCAAAAAAAACAGGTGAGATTTCCATAGGTTTGAAGACCTCTGACTTTTTTCCCAACAAAGTTAACAGCCTGTATTTGGAATTACTTCTTGCTGGCAAAAGACCCCACTTTTTCTGAAACAAGGCTTCTATTTTTTCCTCTCTTTGCAGCAATACCAAAGTATACTCACAGGCAATTTGTGAACATCGTGTTCAAGGGCTTTTAAGTGCATCAGTGTATCTGCTAGGTGCAATCAGCATTCCAACACAGATCTGCAGAAAATACCCTTTCCATTAACCTTTTAAATGTGACAGTCATTTGTGCAAATTGAAATCCATCATTTCAGATTGTGGTGGGAGTTTTTGTAACTGAGACAAAAGTTTTTTTACTCTGGCTCTACTTACACCTGACAATGTGCCCTTTTAATTCCCCTCTGGAAACTAGGTATATCTACAGCTACCTTGACCTTATTAATTCCTCTAATCTTCTGTAGTTTTCACCAATCTGGTGCTGCTATTTTTCTTAGCTTGCACTTAGATGATCTCCAGTCTCATATATGACTCAAGGAACTTTCCTCCGTGGCCCTTCCCTCCTCATTCCTGCCAACAGGAGAGATGGTTTTGGAGGGGCCAGTTCCTCATGCTGTTAACTCTTGGCACCATCACAGTGCAAACATCATTGTGGATAAGCTGGCAAGATTTTTTTTCTATTTTCTACCCCATTTCAAATGTGAAGAGGTCCAGGGAAGAGAGACAGGTTTGTCTTACAAAATGTATTTTCTCTAGAAAAAAAAAACAAAAAACCTCATGTGGTTTACATGATTCAATTTAGTGGCATAATTTTACTGATTGGCAGGGATGGCAACCTCAAAGGTGAGTTTGTCACTCCTGTCTTAGCCGGTAAAGATAATAATGCTGCAGAATCTTAGTAATTGAATTAGAAATTATACAGAACTGACTGACCTTTGATAAGAACCTAAATAACATTGTTTGGAGTGAAAATGGCCAATGAGAAGTACATTCTTTGCTTGACCTGAAATTGCAGTTATGGGTGTCCTGATGGAAGTCAAATACACTCAACATGTCTGTGTAAGAGGCTGAAGAAATTGAGACTTGCAACTGCAGGTCAGTCCTGAATCCACACAGATGGAGGGCTTGGGGAACTGTATGACATTTTTAGTGGCACTGCTCTGTGGTGTCATGAGGTCCCCAGGACAAGGTGAGAGATGAGAATTTGACTCCATGTTCTCAGAAGTCTGATTTATTATTTTATGATCTTATATTAAAAGAATGCTATACTTAAACTATACTAAAGAAAAAGAAAGGATAAATCAGAAGACTAGACAAGAATGATAATAAAAAACCATAACTGACCAGAGTCCTGACACAGCTGGACTGAGATTGGTCATTAAATTAAAAACAGTTCACATGCTGGGTAAACAATTCTCCAAATCACATTCCAAAGCAGCAAAACAGGGAGAAGCTGAAGCTTCCCAGCTTCCCAGAAGAAGAAATCCTGGTGAAGGGATTTTTCATAAAATATCATGGTGACAGTACTCAGGTCAGAAAAGGAATTAGGAAGGACAGAGAAGATTGGCAGAATAAACACAAGCTCTTCAGAAGTAGAGCAGACTATGGAAATCCTGACCACACCAGAACTTGTAAGAACAAGCCATAATTGAGCCACTAAAATGAGTCACAGCCCTACTTAGCACTTCTGCTGTGAAGGGACATGAAGTCTCTTTTCCCATGCTGGATCTTCCTGATGAGCTCTGGCAGAACAGAATGACCCAGAGGAAAATTAAAAAGTTGCTTTCAAAGCAGGAGAAAGCATCTGATGAGTTGGAGCCCTGCTTTCCAGGGGACACAATGCACTACTGAGTTTCTGCAGAGTCTGGCTGGGTCTTGCATGTTGGGTCAGATGGTGGAGTGTCTCCAGCAGAGACCCAATTACACAGTGAAACTTTTAAAGATTAATTCCTTTCTATAAGCAGCCCTCATTGTAAGTTCATGATCCTCACCCAAAGAAATGTGATTTCTTTCTCAGAAAAAAGACAATTTTACCTTGAACAAATGGCCTGGGATGAGGAGAATTTCTAATGACCCTCATGTGAATTTCCTTTCCCCAAATGAAGTTGAGCCATCAGAATTGACTACACTAAACTAGTGGTGAAGTCTTGATTCTCATGTGGAACAACTGCTGTTTCCAAATCGTGTCCCTCTTGGGTTAAGAAGGGAAAAAGATCTCACTGGAGTACACAGTAATGGAGTACTTTAAGGGCTGAAAAGAAGCCTGAAGTTCTGCATCTGAATTTCATCTCATTCACATTAAGGATTAGGGCTAGTGCTTTGTGGTTTGGAGGGAATGGAAAGCCTGAGGGTGGTGATAGCTTTGGACAGAAATGGCTTAGTTCTTCAGAAAAAATAAAAAATTCTCTGCCCAGAAGGAATTGTTACATTGATAGGCTATGAAATGGGCAGTGATTAACTTTCTGAAACTTGTTTGATGTTTCTTGACTAGCGTTATTTTGGGATAGTAATGTGTAAAAATCCTTTAACACAGATGCTGCTGGTTAGCTGAAATTCACTGATTGTATTTGTTACACTATTTTACTTGGGATGTGTTGTTCAGAGTAACAATATTTAAACCTCTATCAGGATATTGAGCCATACAGTGATACAGTGAGTTGAGTAATTCCTGCTAAAGCTGATGGGTGGGTACTGCTGCTTCTGAGATTGGCAAAGATATGAACCAGTTAACAATTAACAGGAATTTTCTGTAGAATCTGAATGTTGTTATAGAAATGCTCTTGTGCTGAGCACATCACAAGCTGTCACAAGTAACACAGAAAATACAAATTCACGATGAAGGGCTACATTGAATAAGGGGTATGTGCAAGGAGTTAAATGAGAAACACCCAAAGACTGATGAAAGACAAGTTGTCAAGGGAACGTCAAGGAATATGATCCTTAAAAAAGGCTAGTGGTGATAATGGTGAGCACATAAGGGATATTCTTGTATTTGAAATCTTATTCATTTAGGAAAAAGGTATACATTAACTGAATGGAATTGAGGATGACTGCCAAACCACATATGGATTCACTGTAACTCTGAGAAGTTTAATATCTCTATGATGGATAAATAATTCCGGTTCCTAGTGATGTGAAGGCAGATTCATGTGACCCTTAGTTGCATCACAGTCTTTTTGGATAAATAACCAAAACTATCCCAATCAACCTTGATGTGGACAATTCAACCTTACTTATTAGATTAATGGGTGAGGTCTCAAGAAATGCATATAGAGAGAGAAAAACTCAGGTTGTTGTCATAACCTCAGTATTCTCAGGAGTGCGTGTCCTTCAGTGGCAGGTGTGAATTGGAAAAGGCTCAGACTTAGAGAATGGTCACATCTAAATAAACACATAAGATCAACTTTTAAACATGCTCCTGAAGCATTCTATTATTTGTGGATAGACTAACATGGTCCTAGGTAGTTTCCTGAATCCAGCTGAGGTGGCTGATGCCTATTTTGTGTCTTATGAATCAACTTGATCCCAGGGGCTCTGTATTTCAGCTTTCCCTGAAAGCTCCTTATCTGCAAACACATTCCAAAGGACAATTCAAAATTTGATTCTTACATTACAACCCTTATTCTTTCTCTGACAGAATTAATGCACTGGATATGAAAAATTTAACTGCCACCCCACTTGGCCCTTTCAATCTCTGCTCCTGTTCCAGATTCATGACTTAGCCCTGCATGGAGAGCAAAATTCTTGTTTCAATTAAGGGCCTGAAGATTTATGAAATCTGTTTTGAAATAGAAATTCCACCATTCCAAAATTTTCCAAAAAAGATATGTGAAGGCATTTTCTTTTGAGTTGATCATAAATGCTTCACTGAAGTTGCTTTTAAAAAAAAAAATATTAACATTGTATAATCACATAAAGCAACAGTATCAAGCAAGGTAAAATCAAAAATAAACATTTATACATTTTTCTTACGCTCTTCAAATACCTTTTGTTGTCTTACCTAAACCACACCAAGAGAACGCATTTTTTCCCAAAATAATGTCTTATCAAGTATGACAGATTAAGCAGATCTAGGTAGAAACATTTCCAAGCTCATTCTGATTCTGTGAATTATCACAGAAATTCGTGACAGGATTAAAAATAAGAATATTAAATGCTTTAAAATCTGCAACAATAGAATAAATGCCGGAATAGTCTTTCATTTAATCTAATAATATCAAATACACCACATTTGTATTTAAAATCAGACAGCAGGAGCTATTTAAAAGATCTTCTTTCACAGCTGTGCTCCCTTGCAGTGGGTACCCTTCCTTTGGCAGCATCCCTGGCTCTGGCGAGCAGCAGAGATGCTCCCATCACGGGCATGGCCCGGCTCCAAGCGCTGCTCTCACCAGATGATGGCAGTGTCACATCCCTTAATGAAAACCCAGCAGCTGTCACCTTGGGAGGGAACCAGATTGGCCGCCCACACGTGCAGCCAGAGGGATCCTGTTTGGCCTGAGCTTTGTGTGTACCAGAGGGAAAAACTAATCAGAAACAAGGGAAGGGAAGAGCCTGCTTCGCGAGGCGTCATTTATTTGTGGACTTTGCCTGTTCTGTTTGAACATCAGCTGCTATCGTTTTGGTGGAAGCGGGGGCACTGAGATAATCTACATATTTATGTGCAAAACCAACATGGAAATGCAGTCATCTTGGTCCCGGTGCAGTGAAAGACTGTAACATCTGCATATCAATAGCCACAGATTTGATTCAGTTCTCAGTAGTGTCATTCCAGAGAAACTCAAGGCAGGAAAGGAGGGAGTTTTCATGACTCTTTTTGCTATGGCACTGGTTTGGGTTTTATCATATTCTCAATCAAGGAGCCAAATTCAGCAGAGCAGAGGAGGATGGGGTATGCTCTGCCCCATATCCACCTGGATCAGAAAACCTTCCTATGCTCTGAATGAGGGATAAGAAACTCACCTTTGCCTCTGCTGAAGGAGAAAACAGCTTTAGTTGTACCTCCATGGGAATTTAAAGGCAGCTGCTGCAGTCTGTTAGCTAGGTTAGCCTTCTCCAGAGACTGTGCTGAGCCTGTCTGGATCCCTGGGGAATGGGAGGAATGAGATCAATGAGTGCAATAGCTGCTTGCTGCAAACTCTATGTGCTGGCCCTTGAAATCTCCTCATACCTGATCCCTTTAATTGCCTGGGCTCCTGAAGAACATGGACATTAATGAATATCCCTGTCCTCAACTTTATCAGAATTACTTTGACATTCATTTTGAAAGAAACCCAGTATTTAAAAGTTATACATCCTGTGGTTTTATAAGCATCAGCTACTGGTAACTGTCAGAGACATAGTTTGGAAAAGGACCAGATGCTCAAGGGGAGTTCTTTATTCCTTCATCTTTCTTCAGCAAATCCACAAGTGTACCAGGAAACTAGCATGGGCTGACAAAGGCATTGTGGGCTTGCATGATACAGTAAAACATCTGCTTCCAGGCTGTCAGCAAAATGCTGACTATGAATGCACAGGAAAGAAAACAAGTGCCACAGGTGCTGCAATGCTCAGATGCATGAGAAATATTTTAATGGATAGGAAGTATGATCAAAAATGGTTGATCATCAGACCTGAGAGCTTTTGTCATCACTCTTATACTTCCCTTGCAGGAATATTTTAAAAAATATACTGAGCCAAATATTAAGCTTTTACAAAATTATCATGCCCATTTACTTAGTCAGATGTTCAAAGGATTCACCACCCCCCACCCTCCCCAAGTCTTATTAATATTTCCTTCAGTCCTCAAATTACAGGAAATTATCTGATGCAAGCCAATGTATGCATGAGAAATTCATCCTGCAGCAGAGGCGACATTTGTGTTAGAAATTTATTACAGCATTAATAACTATTAATCATTGGCAGTAACTATGTTTCACCTAACAGGGTGAGTTTAAAATTCAATGCACCTTACACAGGATCGTGATAACTCATGTTGATGAGAAAAGCAACAAAATGGGTGGAAGAGGGAGCTCCCAGCCAAATCAATAACATAATCCTTTCACATCTTTGCATTTCAGTCTAAAGTAAAGAACTGCATAAAGCCCCTTGAAAGCTGAACCAAACAAATGGCACTTTTTAAATGGGAAAAATAGTTCAGAGGAACTAAGTCTTTTGGTTTGCAGAGTTCTTTGTTTCTCACTGGGACAAGTCATAAGGCATCCCCTCCTTCTGTGTACATGAATTTGTCAAGATAATTCATAGTACAGCCATATGTGGTTCTTGTTTGTGTAGTTTTGGATGTTTTTAAAGTCTTAAAATAACCAGATTTCTATGAAATATCTTTTTTTATTGAGACTGTATTCATAAAGACATGTATCAGCCACAGACACGATGTACCTATATCAAAGATAAGCAAACATTATCCTCACCACACTTCATTTCCAACTCCTTTAAACCGGATTGTGTGATGAGATTTTAACTTCGGATAAATCTGATTTTTTTTAACTTCCTTTTTATCTGACAGGAAACACTTCATGGATGCGTTACTCGACTTTCAAAGTTCTGCATCACATGGCAGGTGCACATTACAAATCTTATTGAGTGGTAGAACCTAAAAATACTTATTTAAGGAATTTTTTTTTTCTTTCTTACTGAACAGAGGAATTCTGGTAAAGTTTTGCTATATTTGAACTTAATAAAAAAGGGATCCAGAGATTTAACTCCCAGTTCCACAAGCTCTACATTGTTATGAAAGCTGTTATAGATTTCACTTTTTAAAATCTTCTAAATTGTCTGCTATTTCTGTAAGAGTACAGAGGGAAGCAGCTCACTGGTGTTCATTTCCAGGCAGATCACAGCAGCAAAACAGTAGATACACATCCCTGGTTATCTTGCACAAAACCTCCTGGTTTTCACTGGTTGATCTGGAGGTAGAATGTCTGACTGAAATACCTATCTCCATATGAGACAGCACTGTGTGGCAGCAGGCAGATGTGTTTACAGGAATAGCCATGCATCTTCTCTGGAGAGCAAGCCCTGAGCTCCAGCTGCCAGAAATGTTGGAGCTCAGGGAGGAATTTGAGGCAGATGGGACCTGCTGTTGGTTTGTGTCTCCTCATGCCACAGCACACCATCTTGCAACCACCTTTACAGCAAACAAATGTAACAGAAAGATAACTTTGTTTAGGTGAGGTGTTTGTGAATAAAGCTCTTCTGAGCAATTAAACCCCTGGGACCTTGCAAGTGTCCCTAATGATGAAGAATAAAGGAGTAACTGTTTTTATAGTTCATTTTTTAAGAGAAACACTTTATAGGCTTTTCCATTAGATGTTGGAAGGTCTCTAATATGCACTGTTGAACTTCTTATTGAAATAATTTGTACACATTAGAGACACCGGTCTTGTAGCAGCTGTCTTGAGAGGCCTTCTATAAAATAGTGCAAGGTGTGAGTAACCCTCTTTTCCTGCAGAGGCTGTCTCAATTGCTGCAATCCCAACTGTTGTAATTTCATTTGCCATTGTACATCAGGATGTGCTGTGACTCCGAGGCATTCCTTACTGCCCAATTCTCATTTTCCTTTCTTGTATCTCAAGTGTAAGCAGTAAGCCAGGACCATTTGGATGCTAGGTGCATTATACTGACTTAGAAGGAGGAAAGGGGAATTGATATAAAAGCTAACTTGCTGCTGTTAGAGGTCTGAAATCCATCAATGCTTTGCTTGCTTATCCAGGAAGGAAAGGCAGGAGTGCAGATCCTGCTGCAGACATAAGTATGGAGGAAGACTGAAGGAGAAGACTTCTTTGCTGTTGCTTCTCTGCATGGTGATGAATGGTGTTGCATCTAGTTGGTGGCCAGTCACTAGTGGGGTCCTCCAGGGATCAGTGTTGAGCCAAGTCCTGTTGAAAATCTTTATTGATGATCTGGATGTAGGGATCCAAGTTTAGAGAGGACCCCAAGTTGAGGTGGAATGTTGATCTGCTGAGGGGAGGAAGGCTCTGCAGAGAGATCTGGACAGGCTGGATTGATGGGCCAAAGCCAATGGTGGGAGGGTCAACAAGGCCAAGCTCTGGGTCCTGCCCTTGGATCACAACAACTCCTGCAGCACTACAGGCTGGGGAGAGTGGCTGGAAAGCTGCCCAGCAGAAAAGGACCTGGGACACTGGGTGAACATGAGCCAGTGTGAGCCCAGGTGTCCAAGAAGGCCAAAGCCATCCTGGCCTGTGTCAGAGGGAGCATGGCCAGCAGGACCAGGCAATGATCATCCTCCTGTACTTGATTCTGATGAGGCCCCACCTTGAGCGCTGGGCCCAGTTCTGGGCACTCCAATTTAGGAAGGACATGGAGGGGCTGGAGTGTGCCCAGAGAAGGCCAAGGGAGCTGAGGAAGGGTCTGGAGCACAAGGGAGCTGGGGGTGTTTAGCCTGGAGAAGGGAGGCTCAGGGTAGACGTTATTGCTCTCTACAACTCTCTGAGAGCGTAGTCAGGTGAGGATTGGTCTCTCCTCCCAGGCAACCAGAAATAGGACAGGAGGACACAGTCTTAAGCTGCTCCAGGGGAGGTTTAAGTTGGACATTAGGAAATAGTTCTTCACAGAAAAAAAATGATTGGGCATTGGAATGGGCTGCCCAGGGTAGTGTTTAAGAAAACACTGGATGTGGCACTTAGTGCCATGTTCTGGTTGAAAGGTGGTGTTTGGTGATAGGCTGGACTTGATGGTCTCAAATGTCTTTCCCAACCTAATGGCTTCTGTTCTTTGGTGATTGGTGTACACTTCATGATTGGCCAGCCTTTAGTCACAGTCATGTCTTCTGAGCAGTGGATGTGAGCAGAACTTCAGTAATTTCACTTGATGCAGCCCCCTTCCCTCAGGTTGAAAAAACTCTTTTTTCCATGTTCTTACTCTGCACTTCAGGGAGATTGTGCAGTTTCACTGCCGGGAGCCAAAGTCCTACCACAATGCTGAGAAGCTTTCAGCACCTTGTTTCTCATTCCAGAAAATCAGGCTGGATTTGCTGATGGTTTCATCATGTCATGGTAAATATTTCACTACCACTCTTCCTCTCCTTTTCCATGTGATCAGCCTCAGGTTTCATTTGACTAGGCCAGAGCGGCAGCTTTTGCAGAGCCTACTGCAATACAACCTCATTGCTACACGGGTTGTGGGGAAATGCATTTCTTTTTGCCCAACATGTCTTAATATCTCCATAGAAACCATATTAGGCCCCCATCTTCTGTGAGCTCCTCTCACTCAGGGAATTTCTTCAGATGTCTCCATGTATTTAAAGTTCAATTAAATAGCTAGGAAAATGCAAGGGCTTGGTGAAGAGGACTGGGAACTGTGGTTTCCAGACAGGACTGGAAGGCATTCGGCAGTCCTTACCAGACCATAGCTACGCATTTTTTACTGCAAGTTTACACTTCAGTTGCCTCTACAGTTAAGCCACAAAAAGCCATTACTTCCATCAAAAGACTCATTGCTGAGTACACATTAGTCCAATGCTTGTTACTCTGGAATTAAGCAGGTGTGCAAATGAGTCCTACTCAGCATCTGGAAGAAGAAACTCTCATCATTTTCTCTCAGTAAGATCAGAGCAGCTCATGCACCAATTGTTTATGTAATCCTTGCTCTTTCTAACTTCATCTCTATACTTAGCCCTTACAGCTCCAAATTATGGCTTCACTGCAGTATTGCATTTCATGATGACAGAAGGAATTCCACCCTTGATGCTAAAAAGCAGGAGCTCTCTTTGATGCGACCTGCACACAAAGCAGAGAATTTCTGGAAATACATTTTCCACATCCTTAGAGGTTTGTCATCACTGCAAACCCACAGAACTGGGATATAGACTTTAGCAGAGATGCAAATGGTTTTCAGTCATGTTGCATTTCTTTTGCCCTGTAAAATATACTGATGGCATCTCATCATCACTGGAGAACAGCACAGGAGAATAGAGTAAATATCACACAGGTAAACTTCTTTCTTTTTTGTTTTGACCAGAAAGTTTGAAATTCAAATGAGAACCAGAAAGCACCTCCCAAAGAGTCGTTTGAACACAAAAACATGGAGAAGTAACATGCACTTCTAGTGTTCATGCCTTAG